TCGAACGCAATCCTTCCAGGAACTGCTGCTTCAGCTTTCGTGAGAGCTCCCGTAGCCCAACCCCATCGACGGGCCCCAGAAGTATGGTCTCGGCGTCCTTGAGGAAGTCGGCCGCCGTCCTCCTCGAGTCCTTTCTTGGCTCTACATCGTGGTCCTTCAGGGTGGTCGGGCTGATCCAGAAGGCGAGGATAGCCTGTATCAAGGACTTGCCTCGAAAGAGCGACCTGATGGCGGCGAGGAGAGCCTCTCGTAGCGATGTCATGGCAGTTATGATGGGCCGCATGGCACAGCACCAAAGAGCGTGAGCGAACACAGGGGGGTCTTTAAATCATCTGAGAAGATGTTCCCACCCAGCAGAAAACTATACGAGTTGCATGAAAGAACGGATGGCAGGAGGCAGAACAACAGCGACAAGAAAACAAGTCGCCTATTTCTTAGCCTAGCAAGACTTGTCCACTAGACTAACCAAGCACGACACGACCACTACCGGGTGGCCCAAAAAGTGAACACGGCAGAATGGAACCTGCCGCGGGTGCCAGTTGTCTTTGGGGTTACGGAACAATGGCTTAAGGTGTCCGTCGTATAGGGTCGGTAGTAGTCCCAGTTCTGGAAGCAAGGGAAGGTGCCCAGGCAATAAGGGACGTGTATGGAGTAAGTGAGCAGGTGGCTTGCCAGGAGATGTAAATGGAACCTCGGGGGTGTCAGGGGCAATAACTGCAGGTTGCAGAAGGGCGTGTAAGTGGTGAGCAGCACAGGATTCGCAATCCCATCTCGCACTCTCGCAATAATAGAAATACGGGCACCATGAGCGGCACGTCACTCTCCCTATGAAAGGTCAGGCAGGGCAGGCAGGCAGACGGGGGGTGAGCGGGGACGGAGAGGAACATGGACAGACGAAATACCACCAAGAGAGCCTGCAATAAAATCAAACAAAAATACCTAAAAATGACTGACTGCCTTGTCTAGGGGTGGGGTTCGTGGCTGGGACGTTTGAGAGAATGGAGCCAGCGAGTGGAGTGGAGTGGAGTGAAGTGGTCGATATTGCGATCTCGCGATAATTGTTTTGCGGCCAATGGCAGGGCAGAAGAGGGCGACCAACAGCCAAAAAGGGAGAGAACAGAGACGGGCGGGTCTAGAGAGAACGGGCCGGGTGTGTGCGTCGTTGCAATGCAGTGCACCTCAGATTGCTGCAAAAAAGGCACGTCGAAGATGCGAATGGAAGGGAACATGGAAGAATGAGCCAGGGCTGCTGCTACTACTGCTGCTGCTGCTGCTGCTTCTCCGCATTCTACATACGCGTGTATCCGCACTATGAGATACCGATGCAGGCACCACCCACCCCGCCACGGCCACCAGCAGGAAGGACCAAAACAGCCAAGGCAATGTTGCTTGCAAAATGTCGGGTTGGTAGGTATGGATGTTTTTTTCCCCTGTAGGTCTTGGCTGCGTGCGGGTTGCGGGCGCTGACGCAAAGGATGGAAGGAAGGTACCGAGAAAGGTGGTGAGGTAACGTTGCTTTGGTTTGGTCAAATCGTGGTGGTGGTGGTGACTGATGGTAGTGCCTTGAACAGCGGAAGTGGGGAAGAAGAGGAGACAGAGTTGGATCTGAACGACAACTGATGCTTGGCACTCAACATGTCGGATGAACTGGGCAAGAGCCAAGAAGTTGATCTAAAGCTTGTTTCATTAGGCAAGCGCCCTCCAGCTGAGGAAAGCTGAAGGTTCGGGATGGATAAGGTGCCGTTTCGGCAAGAGCCAGCCCGTGGTGTCGCTTCAGCACGTCACTCGTCACTTCCACGTCTTATAAAATTCAACCTTTATCCGCCATCATGCTGCCGCCTCACAAGCGTGGGGGACTTATACTACATGAAGCGGACGCCTGACCCACGGAAAGGATCAAACATCTAAACTCAGGTACCCCTTGCCTTAGCTGCGTACCTCTAGATATGCATCCTTGGAAATATTTGAGGCTCATTGGAGTGTCAGCCTCACCTTGGCGACAGCTACAGGGTAACTACCAAATCCCTACATAGGTTCGAGTCCACCATCGCCAGTTCATCACCTTCCCTACCTGGATATCACGGATTCCGATGCCTCCAGTCACCTGTCTTCTCACGACTACCAGGTACCTGTACGGTGTAGGTTATCTTGGTGCACAACGTGGTAGGGAAGGTAAGAGCAATGTGCCCGGTAGAGTATACCAGGCAGGCACGACACAAAACGTTCCATCCATTCTGTCCTCCAGTCTGGTTCTGCATCCACCGTCCTAGAAACCAGGTACCCGGTCAATACCCAGCCTGGCGCTCATGTGATTTCATCGTCATCGCCGCTGGTATCCGCGTCTCACGGCTCACGACTCGCAGCTTGCATCTCATCACACTTCACACAACCTGCCTGGTATGATGATCATGGCGCCTGCCTCTGTACCTGTACCTGACCTGCACTGGCGTGTACCTCCGTTGCCGGCCATCCCAGATGCCATGGAGCATGCGGTGTGGTGCCGATTGCTGAGTGAGATGGTCGTGGTTGCTGCCACTGATTTGCTCGATCCCCGATGAGGTCCACAGGTTAAGGTGAGGCGTCTCGCAACAAGCTTTTCAGATAGCCGGTGCAGACCGTTCTCCATGAGGTTCAAATCCTATGCTCCTCACTTTTTACATGCTCGCTCTCCCTCTCTCGAAACATCTTCAGAATTCCAGCCAGCATTCCTATAAACCTCATATCATCACACCTCCACCACTTGCAATCACCTACTTCTAGAGTTCTAGACATCGGGCGACGATCGACAAGATGAGGCTCATCATTCGAGACGACGCCGACGCGGCCAGCTCCTACGTCGCCAACTACATCATCGACAGGATCAAGCACTTTGCCCCAACACCAGCCCATCCATTTGTTCTTGGCCTTCCCACCGGATCTAGTCCCTTAGGTGTATACAAGAACCTTGTCGAGAAGTACAAGGCTGGCGAGGTAAGAAGACCGGTCTATTCCAGCGCCCGCCTCATGGCACTTGAGCCTGTCTAACGCGTGCACTGCTCCTCCATAGATCTCGTTCGAGAATGTCGTCACCTTCAACATGGACGAGTACATCGGCATTCCGCGGGACCACCCAGAAAGCTACCACTCCTTCATGTGGAAGCACTTTTTCTCGCACGTCAACATCCACCCAAACAACGTCAACATCCTCAACGGCAACGCCCCCGATCTCGAGGCCGAGTGTGTCGGTTACGAGGCCAAGATCAAGGCCGTCGGCGGCATCGACCTCTTCCTAGCCGGCATCGGCGAGGATGGCCACATTGCCTTCAACGAGCCCGGCTCTAGCCTCGCCTCCCGTACCCGTGTCAAGACCTTGGCTTACGACACCATCCTGGCCAACAGCCGCTTCTTCGACAACGACCTCGACAAGGTCCCCAAGATGGCTCTGACCGTCGGCGTTCAGACCGTGCTCGAGGCTCGTGAGGTCGTCGTCATCATCTTGGGCGCACGCAAGGCGCTAGCACTGCAGCGATGCATCGAGCAGGGCGTCAACCATATGTGGACCCTGTCCAGCCTGCAATTGCATCCCCATCCCATGATTGTCTGCGACGAGGACGCAACCCTCGAGCTGCAAGTGAAAACTGTCAAGGTACGATCTCCCATACCCCGTAGATCCCCGCCTTTGACCAGTCTTGTACTGACCCACCCACCCAGTACTTCAAGAGCATCGAGAAGGTTGCTCTGGCCCAGGGCTTCCAGCAGATCCTCCCCTCCAAGATCCGGACAGGACCGCCAAGGCCAGCAGCCCCAGAGCCACAAACCGTTCTGGCCGTCGAAGTCCAGTCCAGCTCTCCCACTATCGACTCGCCACAGCCTACAACTTCACGCTTGCTGCAGGCAACACCAGCCACCGAGTATCCCGTACGCTCCGTGTCACCAGAAATCGACTTCATCCCAGACCGCATGGGGTCGCGCATTCCCGAGCTGCATTTTGCGCCGCGCCTGACGCCGTCCCCAGAGATGCAGAAGCAGAAGCAGATTCCTGCCACACGGGTCAATGCCGTCGGGGCTTGATCTTGGGGCTGTTTGATTGAGATATCATGGGAGGAGGAAAAGTCTAGCGTCTCATTGATTGGTATTTTATTTCTTGCGGCACTGGTTTGATCACGACCACGTGAAACAAACTGACAGCGACTTTTTTTTACTGAATGGCTCCATTTTTTTAGTTGTTCATGTAGGATATGGGATTTCTGATTTGGAATCATCGTTGCTTGGATTTGTGCTGAACGTGGGCATCACAAGCTGGATGATCAATAGCCATATAACAGGGGCATGGAAGGGTAATTGGATGAAGATTTGAATTTGGTGTCTTCTCCTGGAATAACAAACAGATGTTTTAGACGTATAGATCCATAAAACATCGCATTTGGGAATGTGATGGAAAGCATTATCTAGATAAATACCTCCTCGTGGAAATTACTTGTATATAGTCTTGCGAATACACTCGTAGCCTTTATGTACCTAATTTGCTCATTTGGCTTTTGTTGTACTGAAAACTCTCGTATGCGTTGTTCCTCTGTATGTGCCGGACTGTTCAAATGCCAGCCCCTTTTCCGTGTCATGCCTCATGCAAAAAAAAGTGAACAGTCGCAAACGAAACAACCATAGACCAGAACAACCAAACATAAGAGACACGACCACAACGGGGAGCCGAAGTCAAGATTCACTCGATAAAGATATCCTCCATTTTTTTTCTGACGATGATGCAGGAATAGTTCTTTCCATATCTTCCTCGATTCTTTCACCCTGTCCATTCCGGGGGAGCATGTTCCCTGCCCACAAGCACCAAAGATATCCACTCCACGACCACGATTCTGTGTTTCTCTCCACAACTTACCCACATTACGGCACTGGTGTAACCCATAATTGTACAAATTTCTTCTTGACGACCATCAAATCCACTGCTCACAGCATAGTCATGTTCACGGCTAGAGCCCTCATCAAATCATCTCACAACACACGAATCCGGTGTGGTGTAGCGGTAACATTGTTGACTCTCATATCCTTGCTCAAGCAAGATCTGTTTACTCAATAGCCCGGGGTTCGATTCCCCGCTCCGGAAGCCAATGTTTTTCTTTTTCTTCTTTTTTTGTGCTTTTCTCGTCTCTTTCTTTTTTCCTTTCCTTTTCTTCGTTCTTTTATTCCTGCCCCCAAGCTCATTCGATCAACTCTCATCGGTATCTTATTCTTTTGGGTCCCTTTTCGACAGAACTGTTATCTGTCTGTCTATCTGTCTTGTCTATCGCGCAACTTCATCCGGGCTGGTGGACGGACAAAAACATTCCTTGCTCAGTTGTTCAGGCCTTTTTTGTCTTCTTGGTTTCCTTCTTCCCGAACCGACTGGGAGGTATCTGGGACACACACAGCCAACCCATAATCCGCAGACAACAGAATCTCAGGGACACAAAGATATGACTATGCTACATAATTGCTGACTGTAAGAACTACCTACCCTAACGATAATGATAAAAACAATACCCAATGAACACCTCAACCAAGCACCATCCTCCGTTCCCGTCCCAGCGCAGTAGGTACATAGCATCTCGAAGAAAACAGGCAGCGGAACCGACCACCCCATGAAGACCATGCCATCCACCACCCCCCCGCCCCCCAAAAACCCAATATCTGTTATGTTTGTATGCAGCCCTGTTCGTTTGCGCCCCCCAATAGCCCCTGAAAATAACCAACTGTGTGTGTCTACGCCAACGATCGAATGAGAAAAGACAAACTGAATAATAATGTTTACCACAGAACTTTTGCCTGTTCTCTCCAGTATCCACCCCGCCCCCGCCAAAAGAAAAACCAGAAATAGAATATCGTGCCCGCCTTTCCTTACCCATCAATCTCCTGGTGCTGCCCCTCGACCCTCTTGACGGTCCCGCCAAACAGAATCTCCATAATCTTTGACTTCTGCCCGCGCCGGACGACCTCAAGGTGGTCGGCGACCTCCTCGAGGCCGCGGACCTGCTGCTCGACGCTGAGGGTGCTCCCGTTCTCGGACCGGACGAGGGGCGAGACGAGGCGCTCGCGGAGGGTCTCGAGGTTCGCCTTGAGCAGGAGCAGACGATGGTTATGCTCGACGAGGATGCCCTTGTTGCTGACCGTCTTCTCGCGCACGTTGAGCAGGAGCAGGCGGTTCTTCTCGTACTTGCGCAGGTCGCGGGCGCGGGCGCCCAGGATGACGGTCCACAGCGACGAGAGCAGGTCCGAGTGGGCATTGTCCTGATCCGAGGCCTCGCGGACCACCATGCGGGCTAGGTTGGCGAAGCGCTGGTCGATGGCCTCGAAGATGCTGAAGAGCGCGAGCGAGTTGTGCAGCTCGTTGTTGATGGCCTCCTCGAGCACCGAGAGGAACTCGGCAAAGGTGCGCTGCAGCGTCTTGAGCTCGCGCTGCGGGCTGGCGTAGCCAAACACCGAGACCACGGCGGCGCCCAGGCGCGTCGGGTGGCCGGCGTCCGGGTCGTCGAGCAGGCCCGTGTTGGAGAGCAGGTTGTAGATGTTGTCGTAGGCGGTCGAGAGCGGGGCCGCGGTGCGATGCTGCAGCTGGTTGAGCTCGCGCTGGGCCCATTGCATGACGATCAGGATGCCGTCGATGTCGCCGTCGACGCTGGCGTAAAACTTTGTGACCTCGAGCGCGAGCACCTTGAGACTCTCGCTGAGATCGTCGAGCTCCTGCACGATGGCGGCCGCGTTGGCCATGTCGCTGTATCGGATGCTCTCGCTGAGGTCCCACACGGCCAGCCCGGTAGCCTGCAAATCGCCAACCTGGGAGACTGCGTTCTCCGAGTAGTAGATGAGCGGCTCGAATGAGCGGGCCACGCCAGCGACTTTGACCAGGTCGGGAACTGGTCTGAGCGTGGTCGTTGGCTGGAACAGTGACCGGATGGCCGAATATGATATGCTGAGGAAAATAGCTGAAAGCAACATGGAGATCCATGAGCCCGCTCTGAAGCCCACTTTTGAGCGCATGAAGCTTGTGACCGCCTCGATGGGCTCCCGTTGCTGAACTTGTGCTCGGAGCGCGAGGCGAAAGTCTGAGCCGCGTGCGTGTTAGCCAAGACCAGGAACCAATTTGCAGCGCATTCTTTATATATAGCCTTGTATTCAGGATGAAGAAGCTTACAGTTCTTGGGAGCATCTTCTAGCCTCCGCACCCCCTTTGTCCGTCTCCGCAGCCCACCACTACCACGCACATTCTGCTCCTGCTGTCTGATAAGGTTGGACTGCCGCGCAAGGCCATTGTGTTCCGAAGGCGCCGGGCTGTGCTCTCTGGCGGGCGAAACGCTCCCCGTCGGCAGCCTTGTGCGCGCCGCCCGGGCTAGTATGAGCTCCTGGTCGTCCATGCTCTCGTACTCGGCGCTCGACTCGCGCCAATTGTAGTTGTCATCGATGCCGCCGGCAGCAAAGCCGGCGCCTCCCATCATGTCATCACTCTTGCGCCAGAAGCCGCTGCTGCGGCCGCCGTTGCCGAGGCGTCTCCAGGCCGGAGGACTGTAGCCACCGGCGGAAACCTCCGAGTCCAAATCGTCCATCTCGCTCGCCTCTTCGTCGCTCCGGAACCCCGAGTGTGCTGACGGGTAGCCGAACGCTGGCGGGCTGCGACTGCGACTCCCAATCGACGGTTCGAAGTCCTCCAGAGAGATGTCGAGAGGGTCGAGCTGATCGAGATGTTCGAGTGGATCGAGCGGTCCGATGGCTCTCGCTGTCGCTGTCGCGGCCGCCATATTTAGCGACGGAGGGTGGGGTTGAGCTTCCGTTTGCGCCTGCGCTTCCTCTGTCGGCTCCCTTGTCGGTGATCCTCTTGATGCGCTCTCTGCGGCTCGACGACGACGACGACGACTTTTCTTTCCTGCTGTCACTCTGATGGCGATATTCAATCAAGGGTGGTAGCGGCTTGTCCGCAATCTCGCGGAGCCGTCGCTGGCGGTCCTCGAACAATGCTTCTTCCTCCTGGTGGTCCGTTCGCGAAACAAGGGCGGTTTCCTGGGGCTTGCGGCTGCGTCTGAAGAACCAAATGCTTGGTCGAATTGTTGGGAAGGGCGGCAGGTAGAGATACAGGAAGAACAGGGCCACGAAGAGGAATGCGACGAAGGCGCTCGGCGCAATATGAATGGTGAGCAACGAGACGTTGTTGTTGACCGTGAAGAGCGACTGCATCGGACAACAGACGGTGGCGGCTTTGCGCGCGAGAGCGAGACAGGGTTCTGAGATGACGGCTCCAAATGGTTTGAAGCGATGGGTTGGGATGAATGGCACCACCACCATCAGGCATAAGTTATGTTATGGGGTCGGTAGCGGGTGATGACGGCGCCGCGTTATCTTTCTTCGATCCCAGGAGAGTCTTGTTCCCTGGTGAAGTCGTTCCTCGAGGACCTGGGGTTCCTGGCAACCACTGTCCAAGCATTTAGATCCATACAGTAGATCAGGCAGGCGTGGTGGGTTGACCCATCGAGATATCCATTGGGCCTGTGGTGGGGGTTGATAGGTAAGGTACGCCCGGCATAAACAAGAGGCTGGGAGACGGCCAGCAGCGAGCAGCAAGGGAGTCGATGGTTTCACACCTCAGCTCAACCAACCAACCACCTGCTCACCTACTCCCCGCGTCCCTGTCCCAGCTAGCAGCCGGGTCTGTGCGGTGCAGCCTGACCTGACCCCTCTCCACCTCCAGAGACCAATCAATTGCGTGAAACATTGATCAAGTCCCGAATAATCCGAGTGGAAAATTACCATCTCTGGGTATCACGATTTGTAGAAACGGGTGTTGAGATAAATCAAGATCGAGGTTCATAGGCAATCCATTCGTCGCTGGGTAATTTCTTTGACTGCTTTGTGAACCTCGGGAAGTGCATGGAGGAGGCTTGCGCGACGGGTCTCCTCACGACCCTTGCTCGGCAGTCAGACCTTTATCGACTCCCCTAACCCTTGGTCCCACGGGTCTTCACCTTGGAAGGATGCCACCCGATTTCCCCCGCTCAGCACCAAAATATCCGTCCGTCTTTCCCTTTGGGCGAGGATAAGCCGACAACGATATCCCCCTTTTTCTTACCTAAACACAGCACTTCAGCGGCAACATCACCAACGCAATACTAGATGTTCAACCGGCACGTCCCGCTCCTTTGGTTTCAGTACCGAGGGCCAGCGTTATGGTCTTCGTAAATGAAATAGGTACTCAACCAAAGAGAGATGATTGCAAAGTAGGTAGGATGAACGACAGGACAACAGAGAGATCAAGGCATACCTTGTAACTCTACTCTGCCACAGCCATCTCGGTACCAGATCACAAAACACAGTACTACATTCACAAACAAACACACAAAACTCGACAGGTTATTTCTTTTACTTTGTTTTCTCATACGCTCCAGCTAGATATTAGCTACCTAGCCATGTAGCCATCTGCCCTACCTCCAAACCGCTGTTCCCTTCCGGGGGAAAGAACCAAAAAGAGAACAAAGGCAACCTCAGATAACCGTCCTCTATCCTAGAGACAAGGAGAGTGAGAGAGAAGAGAGAGACCTCCAAAAAGAAAAAGATATGTATAATCCCACTTTCTTCTCGTCATCAACGTCATATGGAAGCTATGTAGGTACCTACCAGGCTTCCCGGAAAGGGAAAAGGGGGCAGGGCAACCGCTTTCCCCCCAACGACACGCATATATGTAATGTAGCATGTACCGCGCCAGCCAGCCATGTTAAAGTAAAAGCACACACTAGAAAAACCCTAATCGTAATCCGCTGCCACCGCTTTTGGTTGGTTCTACAAATACGTAAATTGATAGACTGGGACAGCAGTCAGTCTCGGTCTGCTCTATCATCATCCCCTGAGAAAAAAACCATCAATCCACCGTTTTGCGTCCGTGGAGTTCAAAAACAACGCAGGACTTCCGCGGCCTGAGCATCATCGCTAGCTGGTCAGTCAAATGAGGCAAGAGTCGTGGTCGGCTTAATCAGGACTCCTGTCGTGTAACTGATCCCCCTTTTTTTCTTCATATCGCATTCGACCTCAGCTTGAAACGGGCCTTGAGGTAGGTATAGTCTCTAGTCAATCTTGGCGTTTGCCAGGCTA